AATAGACTAACAATTTGGTGGGAAAATGGGGCCAGGGTATGAACATACAGTTCAAAAGGACACTCAGAAAACTAACCAGTAATGCATGAGGCAGAGGAATGGGTTAGGCAATGGCATGATTCAGTCCATGCCAGGACTCAGAGGTGGCGGCCATGGCACCACAAAGGAGGTTACCCTCTCCCCTCCCTGGTCAGGAGGTGAGTGTGGCCCCCAATTCCACTGCAGTTGGGTTGGAGGTGGAGCAGACGGGCTGGCTGGGAGCCAGCTGGATGCAGAAGGGCCAGAGGTAGGGATCTGGTGCAATGCCAAACTAAACTTGGGTTCCCGGGGAGGCCTGGGCTGAGAAAGGTCTTGTGGTGGAGGTGAGTTTTATGCTGGGTTCATACCCTGTATCGGCCTGGGAAGGGAGTGGAGAGATGAAGGAGGGTGGCTAGAGCTGCCAAGATGTTCTTCTGCCAAACAGTGTTCTCAAGAGACTGGGCCTGTCCTGCTGAAAAATCTTGGTGCAGATTTGGTGTCACGTGAGGGTAGGTAGGCTGGGAACCTATAACTTCCCGATCAGGGAGGGATCAGCTCCCTCTCGGGTTTCACAGTCCAGTACAGTAGCCACTAGCCACATGTGGCTGTCTACCTTTAAGCTGAAAATAGCTCACATTAAGGAAAATCAAAAGTTCAGTCTTCAGTCGCACAAGCCACTATTCCAGGAGCTCCAGTGATGCGTGGGACACTGCAAATGTACAGGGTTTCCATCACCACAGAAGGGCTGTGGGGGCGTGCTGCTCTAGAATTTGGTTGATGAGTACAGGTGTGGTTTCTCCCGGGTCCCCCTGAGGGTGCTTCCCAGCAGGCACTCAGGAAGGCTCGAGGTTCCTCTGGCACAGGGTGCAGCTGTGGGAGCTGTGACTGCTCCCCTTGGCTCTGTTCTCGACGTGGCAGGGGATAGGTCAGCAGGGAACTCGTGAGTGTGTTTCCCAAGTGCAACTGATAACCAGTCTGTTAGCATAAAACCATGGTGTAACTTAAAGAAACACTGCTCTCAGGAAAAATATCCCACAAATCAATAAGAAATAGGCTAACAGTTTGGTGGGAAAATGGGGCAAGGGTGTGGATATACAGTCCACAGAAAAGGACACTCAGAAAACTAAACAGTAATCCATAAGACAGAAATGAGGTGGGAAGGAAACTTTGCAGTATTTTTTAAAGTTTTTAAAAGGCGTTTGGGAGTTACTTAGAAGACAAGGACCCTCTAGTAATGGGAACAGTTGCGCTTTTACTTTCCCTGGATTTTAAGTCTGTATTTCTGTACACTGTTCTGGGCCTGCTTACCTTCATGACAGAATAGAAGGGATTGGTGTAATAAAGATTCTTTCATGACAAAGCTGGTCGAGTTTTCCCCTGGAACTGGAAGCAGCCCTAATGTCTTTCCTTTTCTTTTGAAGAACGGCCTGGGATGTTGGACCTCAAAGGCAAGGCCAAGTGGGATGCCTGGAATGCGCTGAAAGGTAATTGTTCTCCTCAGTCTCCCTCGTGTGTGAAGCCGGCGATGGAACACGCCTGATTGTGGCATGCGAGGGGTGAGGAGGGAAAACGGGGTGAGGCACAGGCTGGAAACAGCTTGACCTGTGTCCGAATGGAAAAAAACTGGGCCACCTACTTTCTCTCTTAACACCAGCAATGCCTTTCCAAAAGCACCATCTCCCAGTAGAGGTGTCATCGAGAGGAGGGCCACTGAGAAACCGATTAGAAGGCAGCATAGCTGGCGAGGGCTTTATATATTCTCAGAATTAGGGGAGCTTTGCTGCCCACAACTCCTCTCCCCCACAAGGCCAGGCAGTGACCCCATAGCCCAAACAGCCCTCCCTCTTCCCCCCAGTTTCCTTCCAGCCAGAAAGGAAAGAAAAGAGAGGAATGAGCTAATGCATGGCAAGCCTCTGACACTCGTAGGCTCAGTGAATGGAGCTATTCTGTGCTAAGCAACAGCAGCCAAGTGTCCCAGCTCCGACTCAATCACGTGCCACCTGCACTAGCAAGACCTAAAAGTTGGCTCTGAAGGGCCTGCCAGCTTTTTTGTTCTCGCAGCTAGCTTCTGAATAAGCCCTCTGTCTTCCTGCAAATAAGAAACACTTGAACTCAAAAAAGGACCCGAATACAATAAAAACTCTCCTAGGATCTGAAGTAACTGGAACAGGAATGCCTGTCCGACTGTCCGTTTTCTCTGGGCATTTCCATGCCATCCGCAGGCCCCACACACTCAGGGGCTGCAGACACGCTCCGCTTTCCGGCAGGTGTCTCTCCTTCACTGTGGATCCGGGAAAGGAGGCACTACCGTCTCTGAGGAATATGTAGTCGGTGCCTCTTACACAGCAGCAGGAAGGCAAAAACTGGCCTCATCCCCCGCCAAGAGCCAGCTGCTTTTGCTCAGAAACGTTTTACAAAACATTTCTCGTAGCTTCTCTCTGGGGAGAAAAGGGTGCTTGGCTCTGCTGTGTCATCACCAGCTTAACAGCTCCGGCAGTTAAGAGCACAACATAAAAAAACTTGACAGAGCAAACTGGGAAGTCAGCAGGACCCGTAAGGCCCCTGTGGCTCCCCAAGTGCGGCTCTCCTGCCTGTCTGGAGGGGCCCCCCTTTCCCCAAGGCTCAGACTAACCCCTCACTCATGGCGGTGGGGACTCACAAGGCCGGCAGGCCACTGGCAGCCTCAGGGCAGCCACACACATTGGTCAGTGCTTTAGGGAGCACAGAGCATCCTCTGTGCGCCAGGCTTCTCAGTTCTTCGTCAGATCCCAGCCAGGTCTCCGAGGTGAGCCCCTGCTCCACCCCCCTTTGCAGGTGAAACTGAGCCTGGGAGCGTTCAGCCAGAGCTGTCAGGCTCGGAGCCTGCTGCTCGACTTCCGTGCTGCCTCTGACAAACACTGTTGATTCCTCACAGGGACGTCCAAGGAAGATGCCATGAAAGCGTACGTCAACAAAGTAGAAGAACTGAAGACAAAGTACGGAATGTAGGGACTGGGCTTGGCTGCCAGCCACGCATGTCATCGAAACCGAAAATCATGCCTTGTTTTTCTAATACCACGGATGAAGTGAAATAATGAAGTTAACCTCCTTCCTGAACACTGTCCAGGATGCGGCTCCGACATTAAGGAGCGGAAACGGTTACTCGCCTTGCGGAGTAGTTTTTATCTATAGATCAATTAAAACTGCATTTGTTACTTTAAGTCTGGTAATCTGGTTTCTTGAAAGAATCGACACTTCCAATCTCACTTCCTTTTTCTAAAGATTTTGTCCGGAAGTGTGTGAGCTCTGTCCCATCCCCGCTCCTCGCCGGGAGTGAGGCAGGAGTTCCCCCTGTTGCAGGCGCGGCCTCCAGGCAGGCAGCGGCCATAGGAGCGGCCTTTCCCACCCTCTCCCAGCTCCAGCTGCTCCCCTGGCAGAGGCTTCAGCCCCTCGGGAACATTGCTAGCCTCGCTCAGAGGAAGGCGGGGTTGACAGGTGTTTGAGGTTTGTCTCTGGCCAAGCCAGTCCACAGTTCCAGAGCCAATGAGCATTCCCAAAGGCCCAGGGAGGCTTGGCCGCAGGCAGCTGGGCAGGCAGAAATGAGCAGGGAAGGGAGATGGGGACCTGAGGGTGGGGTGGGCAAGGGGTTAGGCTGCAGAGAAGAAAGACAGTTTGACCCTGGAGGAAGTAGGTTGTTGAAAAGTAAAAAGAGAAAAAGCGAGAGCTGCCAGCTGTCAGACCCTCCTCGCCAGATGTTCCCCTTCAGTCACGCCGCAGTCCTGCAGGGCAGATCAGAGCTTTCCATTTTGCAGGTGATGTTGTTGGGGCTGACAGATTGGGGAGAAGCTCTCTGAGGCCAGGCAGCAGTCAGTTCTCGCCAACGCCTGTGCCCTGTCTTAGACCCAGTTCAGCCTCGCCCCAGAAGAACAGGTCTCAGCGTTACAGTGATTTGCCCGAGGTCACTCCGCTGGAGAATAAACTAAGATCCATCATTCAGGTGCAGATCATGGCTCAGATGCCAGCACCCCCAGGTAGCCTCAGGCACGACCAATGCTGCAGTGGGAGAAGGGGACAGCAAGGGGGCCAGCAATGTGGTGGGCACGCCTTCCCGGTGAGACGTGAAGCACAGAATGTGACCGTAGGTGATGGGGCGTGAGTACATGGTCAATGGCTGTTGAGTACTGATTCTTCCAGTCAGCCCAGCCTGCCCATGGGGAACCAGGCTGCAGCCCAGGGGTAAACAAGGGAAGGTGGAGCCAACAAAACAACGGGGTCACGGTCCAAAAGCCCAACATGTGGCCCGAGTGAGGTGACATTCTGAGGAGCAGTGTCCTTTATGTGGGAGACAGCCTTCCTGGAGCTGGTGTAACTGAGGGCGGATGAGGCAGGGAGCCTTCAGTCCTCTCCACACCCCTGAGCACCAGGGAGGCGGAAGGAGCCACAGCTACTCACCTGTACCCAGACCTGGACCATCTCCCTGGCTCAGTGATTGGCTGTTTGAGGAGTGAACCAAAGGGAAAACAACCTCTGATTGAGTCCAAGGCCTGGTTCTTGTCCAGACAGATCTGGCTCCAGGAGGCTGGTGCAGCTCCCCGGGGGCGGAGGTGAGCATTAATGAGATTACGTGAGAAGCTCCTGGCATGGAGTGCGCGCCCTGAGTGCCTCTTTATCAGGAGTTTTCCACCAGCTTTCAAACCAGCTCTTGTTCCTGACAGCATCGGAGTCACAGACCGAGTCCAGGCACAAGTGCTCACTCCTTGGGTGACACTGCCCAGCATTCTGCCCTGTTTCTAGCCCGTGAAGGCAGCCTGGAGCCGTGTGCTCAGGCCCTGGGTCACCGCCTCTGGGGGACAGAGTCGGAGAGGAATGGGCCTCCGCCTGCGGAAGCCCTGATACAGCCTGTCTGGTGCCCGGAGCCACACTGCGCTGAGGTTGTCGTGACGACTCAGCAGTTCTCTGTGGGTGCGAGGGGAGAGAAGCACTATGGGAGGGAAAAGCCTTAGGCCAAGGCCCGTCTGCCCACCTCTGGTGTGGCCTCTAGTTAGCGACCATCGTTTGCTGAGAAGCTGACAGGCCAGGCTCCCACTCGGGTTCTTGGATTTGGTTCTCGAATGCATTCCGTGCAGTCCCTGAAGGAGGCTCTACTCCTCACTGCAGTGGGGATTCCTGTGAGGAAATTAAGGTTTTGGCGATGTGTGTGGGTCCAAGCGCAGGGCTCTGGTCAAAAAGCTCCTGCTCGTCCCCTTCCTTCATGTTCCTTCTAATGGCACTGGCTGCCACTCAGCTCTGTACCTCGCTGTCACTCGGATGACAGGTGCCCCCACTCATTGGGCTAGCATAAGATGCGATAAATTCCTCGCCCGCTGCACAACTCCTTCCAGAAGAGCGGCTTGGGAAAGCGGGTCACATCTCCACGGCTGGAGGGGGAGCCAGACTTTTGTGAGTGAGTCTGAGGCATGACCAGGCGGGAGGCCCTCCCTCCCACTCACGGTGAAGCAGTGGGACCAGTTTCTCAGAAAGTAACGCTGGGGTGGTGTTCTGAGAGGACGCCCAGCAGCCTCAGGGCCAGCCTGCTCCTTGGCTCTTTCAGGTGCCCATGCGCCGCCCCGGGTGTGTCCCGCACGGGGTTATTTGGGAGCACACGAAGCAGTGGGAGCAAAGTGGGCACAGGCTTCCCCTCTCCTCTCTGACACGCCCACAGCATCCCTGTGGCACTGTGTACTGCCAGTCTGGCTCTGGTGACAGACTTAGCTGTGAATCCCACTTCAGCCTCTCGGGTACTAAGTCACTACCTGCTTGGAGACACTGCGTGTGGACAATGGGCTGATAAGGTGGTCAAGTGCTTAGCACGATACCTAGCAAACAGCAACTGGCTAGCAGCCTGGGGTTCTTTCCCAGCTGCATCCTCACCCGCCCCACTGACCGCACAAATCCTGCCCTGGGCCCACAGAGTGAGTCTCCCCACTTGGCAGTGCTCCAATAATCTGGGGGTCAACCATGCAGGTCAGTGGGGGTTTCCTAGGATGTTCTCCCCGCACCAAAAGCCTGGGAACCAGTGCTGTGGACCAGGGACCACACAGCCTGTGGGACTGGGGAAGGCAGCTGATTCCAAGTCAGAGGCCTTGCCCACCGCCCAGGGTAGAGACAGGGAGTGAGTTGTGTCCCTTGTGTAAACCTTGCTTTCTTCATCAGTAAAAGGGCTGGCCAGGAAGGTCATGTGTCCAGTGTAGATAAGAAGGAGAGTCACGGGAGGGGGAGGAGAAGGCCCTGGGGTGGTTGGCTTGGCGGAAGTCAGGCTGGGAAGTTGTGCGGGGGTGGTTTCTGCCGCCAGATGGGTAATGATTAAAGTTCAGTTACAGGTGTTTGAAGTTGAGGAAGAGTCCAGAAGTACCCGGGAGGCAGGCTGCAGTGACGCTGTGCCTTTGGGGCCTGGGCCAGGGCAAGGCAGCACCTCTGCCCTCAGCCGCTCCCAGGGAAGAGAAGCTTGGAACTTTCTTCCCTTCTTACTGTGCATAGTTGTAGATGATCTCTTTTCCGAAAGAACGTCGGGTAACTAAGAACAGACCATAAAGTAAGCAAAGCGGCTTCAGGATGGATAGGTAGCTCAGGCGCCAGCCTTGCCTGAAAGAGCCACAGCACCGTGCAGAGCAGAGGCCCCCTGCAGAGCGCTCCCTACACTGCCCCTGCTTTGCAACTCCCCTGCCTTGGATACAGCTCAGTCCTTGGAAGACCAGGACTTCGTAGACCCACAGCTTTTTCTAGGGTTTATCATTTTTTTCTTTTAAATTTTTTAAAAATATATTTTATTGATTTTTTACAGAGAGGAAGGAAGAAGGATAGAGAGTCGGAAACATCGATGAGAGAGAATCATAGATCAGCTGCCTCCTACACACCCCCCATTGGGGATGTGCCCGCAACCAGGGCACATGCCTCTGACCTAAATCGAACCTGAAACTCCTCAGTCCGCAGGCCAACGCTCTATCCACTGAGCCAAATGATAAGGTTTCGGCTTTTTATTTTTTAAATAGTATTTTTACTAAGTAACAAATTAACATGGGCCTCCATTGCAAATGTTTTCCTTTTTCTGTAAAAATCGCCTCATAAATTTTTTCCAAGGAAATTGGTGAGGAATCAAACATGGCACAGGACTCTGCACGTGTGGGGTGGGGCGGTGTCCTAAGGGTGTGACTTGTGGGGTCCCCAGCACCCTGCTGCAGTGGGTTGAACTGATATGTCCAAGTCCTAAGGCCCCACACACAATGCCGTGTAAATGTGATCTTATTTGGAAATAGGATCTTTGCAGATATAATTAATATAAAAGATCTCAAAATACAATCATTCTGAATGTAAGATGGACCCCCATCCAATGATTGGTGTCCTTATAAGAGAGAGGAGGGGTGGAATAGAGACATAGACACAGAGAAAAAGGCAGGTGAAGATGGGGCAGAGATTGGACTCGTGCAGCAACGGGCCGCAGAAGGCCAAGGGGACCACAGCAGAAGCTAGACAGAGGCATGGAATGGATCCTCCCCCAGAGGCCCAGAAAAACCAGCCCCGCTGAGACCCTGAATCTGGACTCCTGGCACCCACAACTGTGGAGAACACATTTCTGTTGTTTTAAGTCACCCAGTTGATGTGATTTGCTGTGGCAGCACAAGAAACGAATATGCCTGCTGACCCCTGTTACATACGTAACACCGTTGCCTGGAGGGCTTTGTTGTGAATAATTGATTAGGTTCATCTGTTAGAGACCAGGGGCCTTAAAGGTACAGGAATTAGCATAGTTTTGGTTGAAATCATAAAGGAGCTAGAGCTCAGGTTGCTGCCATGATGCCTGTGCTGAGAAATCATTACCAGCTCCAGGGAATCCTCATCCAGGAAGCAGGGAGGGAGAGAGGAAAGGGAAGGAGGAAGGGAGGGAGGAGGGGGGAAGGAAAGAAGGAAGGGAAAGGAAAGAAAGAGCCCTGACCAGGTGGCTCAGTTGGTTGGAGTATTGTCCCCTATACCGAAAAGTTTGGGCATTTGATTCCTAGTCAGGGCACAAACCTAGGCTGCTAATTCAATCCTTAGTTGGGGTGCATACAAGAGGCAACTAATTCATGTTTCTTTCTCACATAATTCTCTCTCTCTCTCTCTCTCTCTCTCTCTCTCTCTCTCTCTCTCTCTCTCCCCCCCCCCCCTCCATTTCCCCTCTTCCTCTATCAAATTAATAAACATGTCCTCAAGTGAGGGGGAAAAAGAGGGGACTAAAAAATGGAAGGGTTTGAGGGGGCTGTTAACACTATTTTGCCTAAGCATGGCCCTGAGGGATGCTGTCAATTCATCAGGCATATGTTGGAGTAGAAAGAGATGGGCTTTGCAGATACACTTGAATTTGAATCACAGCATGGCCACTTTTGTTCTTCATGATCTTGAGGAAGTTTCTTATTTTCTCTGAGCCTCAAATATTTTGTCTATAAGTTAGGAATAATTTCTATGTTGCACAATTGAGTGATGATTTAATAAATGTCTAATACACAAAAGAAAAATGAATATATAATAGCTATTATTAATCAAAAGAGTTTGAATAAAGAATGAATTAGTCTTTTCAGGGCTTTAAGATTTAAAAGATTCTGGTTAGGTAGCCTAGATGCCTCACCTTAAGTTGTATACTCTTGTTCCTGTTTGCTTGGACTAACATCCCTTCTTTTGAAGAATAATTTTCTCTCTTATTCTTGGGGAATTGGCCCATCAGAAGCCTAGTGTGTACAGTAGAGATTATTTTTACTGACGGTCTCAACATAAAAATTCTAGGCAAGGAAGGCTTCCAGTCCAGATGATGGCATATGTAAATGCGGTAGTCAACCCACCACCACATCAAAATTACAACTGAACAACAGAACAGCCATCATTCTAAATCATTTGAAATCTAATTGAATACAAGTCCTATAACTAAGGATATAAAGAAGAAGCCACATCGGGACTGCTAGGAGGGGCAGAAACTCGGAACAGGCTGGCCCCACACCCATGAATGGCAGTTAAAAATCGGGAGGGATATCTCGGCGTTGGAGGTCCCCCCTGAAAAGTGAGGAGTCCCAGCCTCACAACAGCCTAAGTTTAAGACACACCCCCACACACACACACACACACCCAAGGTTAAGTTCCCATAACTTCTGGCTGTAAAAAACAGCAGGGATTGTGGCTGAGTAAGACAGTGGGGTCCCAGGCACTTTCTCTTAAAGGGCCCATGTACTGACTTACTAGGACTCACTCACTCTGGCTCCAGCACTATGGCAGCAACTCGAAAGGCAAAAAGGACATATGGGGATGAACTAAAGCATCTGGCATCAGGGTGAGGGCTGGAGGGGCAGCTTCCGCCCAGACAGAAGTGCTGGCAGAGGCCATTGTTCCTTTTCTGAGCTCTTCCCCCACAGACCTGACAGGCAGGTGCCATATCTGAGTCTCCATCAACCTGACTAACACTGTTCACCTCGCCCTGGTGATCCTGAGACTCCACCCCACCCAACTTGCTGTCCCACTGAAGCTGTTTCCAGCGGCTTTTCTATATGAATTGCCTGCCTTGGCTCATGCTTCAGACTTTCCTAAGATCTCTCAGACAAGCAGCATCTAGTCTCAGCATGCCATGTACCTCTCTCTAAGTGGCCTCAGGCCTGGCACTCGTGGCAGCTGGCCTTGGTTGACAGCTTGGCCTCTTCTCCTGGGCACCTCTAAGCCCAGCACAAGTAGCAGCCACCTCAGGTTGCTTTGCAGCTCATGCTGAGTGGTCCCAGACAGAACGCAGGTGGTGAATGACCTTGGCCTGCCTCTTCTGGGAAGTCCCAGAGTCAGCAAGCACACCTAGTGAACAGCTTCAGATCAACTCGAAGCACCACTCACCCATCTTCACAACCGACACACCCAAAAAAGGCAGACTCAGTGGGTACAAGGCCTCGCTAAAGTAAGTCCTGCTCTGGGGGAACAGGAGGGTGGAGGTACCTGTACAGCTGATCCTCCAAGGTAATCATGGCCAATTCTTGCAGCCAATAAGCCTGGGGGGTAAATTCCTCCCGTTGACATGTTAGCAACAATCAATGCTCAACGATAACAGGAAGGTGTACACAACCTACATGGGGGGGCCCATCTGGAACGCCCCTCGGGTGATCGGGAAGGCTGTGCCACTGTGCCGTACAGGACATCTACTATATAAGGCCACTCCATCTAGCTTAGGAGGCCTAACAGCTCTACTTAATATATAGGAACAAGGAGGCAGCAAAAATGAGGAGACAAAAAAATGTGTCCCAAAGGAAAGAACAGAACAAAACTCCAGAAAAAGAACTAAACAAAGTGGACAAAAGCAGTCTACTAGATGTAGAGTTCAAAACACTGATTAGAAGGATGTTCAATAAACTTGGGGGATGAATAGATGAACTTAGAACTTCCAAGCATAAAAAAATAAAAAAAATGACATGGAAACCATAAAAATGAACCAGTCATAAGCGAAGGATACACTAACTGAAATAAAGAATCGTTTACAGGAAATAAACAGTAGAGTAGATGAAGCTGAGAAGCAAAACAGCAATTTATAATATAAGGAAGCAAAAAACACTCAATCAGAACAGCAAAGAGAAAAAAGAATTTTAAAAAATGAGGATAGTATAAGGAGCCTCTGGGATAACTCCAAATGTAACAACATTCACATCACAGGGATGTCAGAAAGTAAAGAGAGAAATTGAAAATCTATTTAAAAAATAATGATAGAAAATTTCCCTAACCTGGTGAAGGAAATAGACATATAAGTTCAGGAAACTCGAAGAGTTCCAAAAATATGAACCCAAAGAGGCCCATACCAAGACACATTATAATTATTAAGATGCAAATGGTTAAAGACAAAGAGAGAATCTTAAAAGCAGGAAAAAAAAAGAAAAGAAAAAAAAAGAGTTATCTACAAGGAAGTTCCCATAAGACTGTCAGCTGATTTCTCAACAAAATCTTTGCAGGCCAGAAGAGATTGGCAAGAAATATTCAAAGAGATGAAAAGCAAGGACCTATAACCAAGATTACTCTACCAAGGAAAGTTGTCATTTAGAATCAAAGGATAGATCAAGATCTTCCCAGACAAGAAAAAGCTAGAGTTCAGCACCACCAAACCAGCATTACATAAAATATCAGTCTTTTTTAAGAAAAAGAAGGGGAAAATAATTTAAAATGGTAATAAATACATATAAAAATTGAATCTAAAATAAATAAACAAACAAGCAGAATAGAAACAGACTCATAGATATAGAGAACATTTTGATGGTTGCCAGATGGGAGGGTTTTTGGAGGGTAGGGTGAAGAAGGTGAAGGGATTAAGAACTATAAATTGGTTCCTATAGAATAGTCATGGAGATGTAAAGTACAGCATAGGAATATAGTAAATAATATTCTAATAACAAGGTATGCTGTCAGATGGATATGAGATTTATTGAGATGATCACTTAGTATCTGTAATAATAAAAGGGTAACATGCTAATTAGACTGGACATCCTTCCAGATGAAGTCAGGGCCAGAGGGGAGCCTGGGTCCTGGGTGCCTGCCAGCAGCTGGAGCAAAGCCCAGGTCCTGGGTGCCAAAGGGAAGCTGGTGCCAGCAGCTGGGGGAAGGAAGGCCTACTCTTGCATGAATTTAATTCATCAGGCCTCTAGTCCTATCTAATAAAAGAGAAAAAAGCAAATTGACCATAACTCTGCTACGCCCACAAGCCACACCTACAAGCCAAGCAAGAGTGAGTATGCAAATTAACCCAATAAAGATGGCAATTAATTTGCATACACAGGCGCCGAGTGGCCTGGGTCCTGGGAACATCCTTGGGACCCAGGCCGCTCCTAGCCTGTAGGCCCGCACTTAGGCCCTGAGCGGCAGGGGTCCCAGAACACCCACTGGCCACTCCAGGACTAAGGGTGCAGCCACTTGCACATATACCGGCGCCAAGGGAGGTTCGAGTCCAACTTTTATAATACTAGAGGCACGGTGCACAAAATTCGTGAACTCATGGGGGAACAGGGTCTCTCAGCCAACCTGTACTCTCTTGCAGTCCAGGAGCCTTTGGGTGGATGTCCAACTGACAGACATCCTTAGAGCTACATTGGAGGCAGGAGAGGCTCCTGCTACCACCACTGTGCTTTTCAGCTGTGAGCCCGGCTTCTGACAGAGTGGTGCTCCTCCTGTGGGAGCACACTGACCACCAGGGGACAGCTCCTGAATTGAGTGTCTGCCTCCTGATGGTCAGTGTGTGTCATAGCGACCAGTTGTTGTGCTGTTCGGTTGGTTTGTGTATTAGCCTTTTATTATATAGGACTAGGTGCCCGGTGGACGAAGATTCGTGCCCAGGGTGGGTCCCTCAGCCCGACCTGCACTGTCTCTAATTTGGGAGCCCTCAGGGGAGCCCTCTCCACTCCAGGAGTTTCTGTCTGTCTTTTCAATCATATGAGCGAATTATAGGAGACCCCAACTCAGTTTGGTTTGTTGCTCACAGAATAATAAAGGCATTTTTGTTTGTTTATTTGCTTTTCTTCATTGATGGAGATTTCCTAGAAGTTTTAAGATATCTTCCCTTTAATTTTTCCTAGAAACTCTAATTTTACCTATCTCTCACCTTTGCTTTCCCTCCATCCCCCACCGCAACAGTAACTTGCTCCAGGCTCACTTTGCTATAGTATCTAGGAGACCTGTCTGCCACCAGAACTATGATTCCCAGCATTCCTCGTGCTCCCTGCACTCTAGGTTTTCCCTTCCTGCTCTGTATCTGTCCCACAGCCTCCTGCTATGCCAAGTTCTCCAAGCTGCCTGCTCTCCTGTTCTGCTCTCCACTCCACACCTGTGTATGCAAATTAACCTTCCATCTTTGTTGGGTTAATTTGCATACTCACTCCTGATTTGCTGGTCAGTATAGTGGAGGATGGTCAATTTACATATAGGATTTTATTATATAGGATTGTATATCAACTGTAATTGAAAAATATTTTTTTTTAAAAGAAAGAAAATCCTAAGGAAGAATGATTTCTTGTGATACCTGACCATCTCTGAACCAAACCATCTTCCCAGAATCTCTAGTAGGAATATTATCAGCTACAGTTGCTTGCTGTCATTTAAACCAGTGGCATAGAGGATGCTATGTGCCCTGGCAATAAAATGATGCTAATATGCAAAGAGAAGCAGAGGTAAGGGATCGGCAGAAACACAAAGCTCTGCAATATAATCTGGGTTCTGAATGCAGCCATATAAGATGCCAGATTTGCCCAGGGCTTTTCATATTGATATAGCTTGGCTTGTTGTCATTTTCAACAGAAAAAGTAACAAACAGTATTCTTAAGTCTCCTGAATTGACCAGCTGGTGAGTGTATTAGTCAGTTTTTTTGCTGTTATAATGCTCTTAACAAATAGTCCCCACAATTCTACCTTATAAAAATAAGCATGCATTTCTTACTCATTAGCTACGACCCTGATGGATTTTCTTGAGATTAGCTGAGTTTGACTCCAAGTTGAGATGTCTGTTCCACATATCTTCTCATTATTTTTTTAACTCTTTTAAAAAAATATATTTTTTTATTGATTTCAGAGAAGAAGGGAGAAGGAGAGAGATAGAAACATCAATGATGAGAGAGAATCATTGATCAGCTATCTCTGGCCCTCCCCCTGCGCCCACTCCATTGGGTATTCAGCCCATAATCCAACATGTGTCCTTGACTGGAATCGAACCTGGGACCCTTCCACAGGCTGACACTCTATCCACTGAGCCAAATCAGCTAGGGATTTAAATATATATATATATATATATATATATATATATATATATATATATATATATATTCTCATTCTTAACTAGCACTCACCTGGGCATGTACTTCTCCCTGAAGATTGCAGAAATTTCAAGAGGTCAAGTCAAGCTGTTTACATACATTCAAAGACTCTGCTTGGGTACATTTTAAAATAAAAACAAGTTTCAAGGCCAAGCCCGAAGCCCAAAGTTTGGGGATATTCACTCTGTTTATTCCAATGAGAGGCACTGCAGTTTCATGACAAGGGACATAGACATACAATTCTGTTATAGGAGGAGAGAAATTGAGAATAATAGTCTAGAAAAGAGAATAGGCTTGGGAGCTGGAGAGTCCTAGGTCACAAATGTAGCTCCACCACTCATGCCTTGACCAAAAGACATTCTCCTTGGTCTGTGGAGGTCATCCTTTCCAACCAAGTCATTAATTTCAGAAGGATCCACATGGAATATAAAGGAGAAAAGGGACACCCAAGTAGACATAATAGAGGGGTGCCAGCAGTTATACTGGACCCCGAGGAGAACTTGAGGATGGAAACATAAAGACAGAAGGATTCTGATTCCTGATGATTCCGGAGAAGCACTGAATTATCCCCGGGCAGCTTACCTGAAGACTTCTTCCTATAAGAGAATAGTGCCTGTGTGTTTGGACTACCTTTTCCCTGGCACTGTCACCTGCAGCCAAATGCAATTCCTAGTGGTGCTGTTGTAGGCGGTGGGAACGGCACCATGTGTCTGACTAGTGGGGCCAGACCAAACCTGGGTTCAGCAACCTCGGTACTTGGGGTCTGGCTAGGAAAGAATTCAAAGTCCAGACCCATCGTAAGAGTACATTTATTTGGTAAATTACAGAGGTAGAAGAAGTAATTGCTAGAAGAAATCCGCTTAGGAAACAATGGTGGTAAAGGAAGGGCCCTTGGATCTTGGGGGTGAGGAAGCTAATGGTAACATGCCTGGGAGGGAGGGATGGGGAGGAGAAAGAAAAAGGCATGGGTGTGCTCCCTGGAGGGAGAGCACACTGGGTCCTCAGTCCTAAGGATTTAAAGGGTAGAGATTTTAGGAGAGGACCCAGGAGAAGATCTCAATAGAATATCCAGTAGCTTTCCAGGTGGGTCCATTCAGGATTGTGGTCTCCACTGATGGATTGGCTGGCACTAGGGCAGGCGGTCATCATTCCATGCAGCTGGTCCTGAGGATGGTTTTGTTGCTTCTCTGGGCCTGGAGCTGAAATACAACTTGAAGCCTAGATACTATCTCTAGGGAGGAGAGGTCAGGGTCCAAACCTCATGACCATGATAAGCTAGGGGAGGAAAAGTCACACTCGGGGCAAGGTCCTGCCCTACAATTGATTGTCCACCACTGGACACCTGGGGCTTTCCACCCTGGTGACCTTCTGCACCTGGCCCATGGTCTTTGCTCAGCTCATGTCTGTCTAACTGCCCACAGTAGTACATGATTAGTCAGGACTGTCCATATAAGATAAATATGGTAAAATTCTAGTGTATGCAATCCAAATTCTGAAATAGAAACGACTGCAATTATAGTTATCTGAGGGCCTTAAAATTTTTATGTTCCAAAAATAGAAAAAGAAGAGAATACAAATCTAGGTGATTTTTTTTAGTAAGAAAAAATTCTTAAATTGGGGTTGTGAGTACATATTGCAGTATGTGTTATATTTGTCTCTTCATTTCTCTATATGTTTAAGTATCTTTTAAAAGCATGGGAGGAAAAGAAAACCCTTTAATGCCCATTTTGATCACATAGTCTAATCCAACAAACTTCCCCACAGATGAGGAGAGTTTGGTTTATGCCACTGTGGTCAACCCTTTGACCCTCCTTGAGTTGGAATTTTATATCCGTGCTCTTTGCTATGTCCCTTTGATGACCCTTTCAGTAGAATGGGGCGAGTACTCACATCCATTCCACTGACTCTGGGCTTGGTCATGTGACTTGCTTTACTCAATGCAGTGTGATCAGACATGATGCAAGCAAGAACTGTAAATATGCTGACTTGGCTTGGCTTGCCCTCTTGTATTTCTGCCATCGCCATGAGAATATTTCTGAGAAGCACTGTGCCAGGTGAATGAGAGCCAAGTAGAGCACACCTGAACCTAACCCACAGCCTCAAGTCAAGACCAGCCGATCCCAGACAAACCTGACAGAACCACCATCAACTGAAGACCTCACCTGGGTCTAGGGGTTGTTGGTCACACAGCATTATCACAGAAGGCATCTGTGAGGAGGCATTCGGTGCTTTTGCCTTTGCAATACTGTCTCCGGCTCTACTGGTAACAATTCGTCTCTCATTTGAGCAACTGCCAAAAGGTGGCTCTGATGGGCTGCCAACACAGAACCTTGTCCCAGAGGTAGACATATCATGAGTCCATTCAAGGCATCAGGAAAGAAGAGGAAAACACAAAAGGTACTTTTTTTCTTCTCAGTATCTGTGGTAGACAGACTGACGGCATCCCAAAGGTGTCCACGCCCTGGTCCCCGGAACCTGTGAATTTGTTAGGCTACAAGACAAAGGGGAGTTAAAGTTGTTAATATTTTGACCTTAAAATAGGGAGATGAGTCTGGATTATCTTGGTGGGCCCAGTGTAATCACAAGTGTCCTTAAATGTGAAAGAAGCAAGGAGAAACATTAACGTCGGAATAATGCAACACGAGAAAGACTCAACTGCTGGCTTTGGAGATGTAAGAGGTCATGAACCGAGGCACGTGGCAGCCTCAAGAAATAGGAAAAGGCAGGGAAAGGACTCTCCCCTGGAGCCACCGGGAGAAATGCAGTCTTCCTGACGCCTTGACTGGAGCCCAGTGAGATTGCTGTCAGACTTCTGACCTCCGGCCCTGCAAGACAATAAGGGTGAGCTGTTTTAAGCTACTAAATTTGTAGTGACTTGTTACAGCAACAAGAGATGGTGCAGTGTTATAGGAATAAATGCAGGATCTGTCCTTAAAGAACCACACACACCTCTGCTTGTATCTCATTGGCCAGAATTTAACCACCTATCCTTGCCTAGCTACAGGAAACACTGAGTACATTGTCAACCCAAATAAAATTGGGCCTGGCCTGTGTGGCTCAGTGGTTGAGCATCGTCATATGAGCCAGAAGGTCACAATTCGATTCCCCATCAGGGCACATGTCTGGGTTGTGGGCTCAATCCCCAGTAGGGAGTATGCAGTGAGGCAGCTGATCAATGATTCTCTCTCATCATTGAGTTTTATCTCTGTCTCCCTCTCCCTTCCTCCCTGAAATCAATAATAATATACTAAAAATAAAAAATAAAATTGTGATGTCATTAATCAGGGAATGGAAAAGATGGGAAAGTGGCAACTAGGTCACCAAATTTTATTCCTTGAGCTCTAGTGATTATCAAAGGGAGGGCATGTGACTTCACAGACTAGCTCTGACCTGTGATTGTATTTAGACACCAGAAGGAAAAAAGTTATCTCTTGCTATGTAACAAGTCATCTCAAAAATCAGTGACCTCAAACAATAATAATTTCATTATTCTCACTAGGCTCAGCTGAGTGGCTCTTCTGCAGTTTGGCTCATGTGGTTGCAGCTAGAGGATGGCGGATGCAGCCATCTCAGACCTTCCTTCGTCATGTGTTTGGAGGCTGATGCTGGCTGTCAGCCAGAACACCTACACTCAGCTCTTCATGTGGCTTGAGTGTCCTCCCAGCATGGTGGCGGAGTTCCCCAAGATCCAGGCAGCGTCTGTATCCCTTTTTATGACTAGCCTCACAACTCAGATAGCATCACTTCTGCCGTAGTCATAAGCCCACCCAAATCCAAGGAGAGAGAACACAGACCCCACTTCCTCTTTTTTTTAAACGTGTCTTCATTGTTGAAAGTTATTACAGATGTCCTCTCCCCACCCCCACTGGCCCCCTCCTCCCGCCCCAAGACCCCATTTCTTGATGGGTTGAATATCAAAGTCAGTTGTAGGAAAGACCTGTGGGGTAGGAGACACTGTTGTAGCCATTTGGAGAAAATCTAACTTGCCAGAGATTCATGTCTTATCCTATGAGGCTTCCATCAAGCTGCCCTTTCTGGATAATTGGACCCCATTACATCATTCTTTAATGGTTCAACAACATTATAATGCACATCACACTGGTTTGCTGTAAGAATTGGATGACTGAGTGCTTGCAACATTCACATCACAATGTAAACTGTAGTGGAAGTTCCTTCCCTTGCTCCCTCCCTCACAGTGACCCTTCCCTTCCCCTGAGGATAGAGGGAAATTGCAGCTAATGCTATTGATGTTGCAAGATGGCAGCAGAGCAACCTTTACCATAGACGTTTCACAGCCCTGGCTTGCAATTCCACTCTTGGGAATTTTGTAATACATTTGTTCCAGCCCAATGCAGACAGAACCCCGTGCTTTAGTGGTAGTCTTTGTTCCTTCTACACATGGACTTAACATTTGCATCAATTGATTCTAAACTGGGATCTCAGTTTCTTCATATTATAAGGAAAAGAGTTTTTAAATTGATTTTTAAGAGCTTGCTAAACAGGTGTGGGTGAGGAAGAGACCATACCTGTAAGTTCTCTCAGCTAACCTAATAATCTAAAGACATGAGACAGATAAGGAGAAAAAAATAACCAAACTTAATATGGGCATATGCATACACATGAGGTTCAAAGACCAAAAGGAAAAGTGTGTACTTTTAACAACCTGAGCCAAGAGGGGGTAATGTAAGGTGCCCTGGGGGCTTCAAAGTATCATTGCAGGATGATAAGAAGAGCACCCACTTAGTAATTAGAAGTTTTCCCTAACATATACATAGGTAAGGAAATGGTTATCCTATATAATAAAAGGCTAATATGCAAATAGACTGAACGATGAAACAACCGAACAACCAGTTGCTATGATGTGCGCTGACCACCAGGGGGCACGTGCAGAACATGGCTGGCATCAGCCATGGTGGGATGGTGGAACAGGTGAGTGGGGGTGCCAGACCAAGGTGGGGCACCTGTGGCTGTCATGGGGTGAGTCTCTGGTGGTTACAGAAAATTCTTTGCTTCCATGCACCATGGTTCCGCCCAGTGCTCACACCTGCTGCTAGTGCCAGCCCCACTTGCACCCGCTGCTAGCGTTGGAGCCGCCACTCACACCCTATGGCTCAGTGTCGTCAGCAGGTGCGAGCAGCGGTTGCCAGCCCCAATCGCCCCTCAAGAGCAGGGGGAGGTGGAGAAGCCCTGAGGGGCGATCAGGGCCAGCAGCCACCTCTTGCATCTACTGCCGACAATGACCCTGCTCGCACCTACTACCCGCCCCAGAGCTGCAGTCCGCACCCTCTGCAGGTGCCCAGTGCCAATCTCACACACTCAGTGCCATCAGTGGGTGCAAGCAGTGGCTGTTAGCCCCGATTGCCCCTGAGGCCTTTTCTGCCTGCCCCTGCTCCTGAAGAGCAATCAAGGCAGCAGCCACCGCTCACACCCGCTGACAGTGTCAGCCCTGCTCATACCTGCTGCTGGTGCTGACCCTAGTTGCTCTGTGCTGTCAGCACGTATGAGTGGGGCCATGCTGTCAGCTTGTGGAAGTGGTAGAGACAGGAGCTGGGCGGCTGGCAGACAGGGGACCATGGGGCTACGGCAGGTGGAGCCAGGTTGGGGCTTGGAGGATGGGCTGAGACTCGCCCCTGTACCCACTGCACCTCAGAGTCCACAGTTCCTTTCAAGGTGCATGAATTTGTGCACTGGGCCCCTCGTCTCTAATAATCTCTTATCAGCACATAAATTCTGTAGGTAGTCAAGTGGGTCAGTTTCTTTTGAGACCACAGGGTCTTAGTTACCTCCAGCTCAAAATAATTGGCATATCACTGCCAGCATATCTTAGGGTGACTCATTC